CCAGTCCAGGAATCTGTCATAGTCCAAGGGATAACTGAGCATAAAGGTCATAAAATATCCATTTATAGGGCTGGACTCCACTGTCCTCTCACGACAGGGAGAAGGTCCAAAGTTCTTTTTCTCCAACAGAGGCTAATGGCCAACCATCCTCTCACATTGGCCGGTCCCGTTAGAAAGTTAATGGGAGCAAAGTTCTATCCTCTCCGTTGGGATGTGGAAAATCCCTCAGCTCTCTCAAATGGTGCACAGTCTCTCCTAGCAGTGAGGGCGTGAGTGGAGCATAATAAGGGGTCCAGAGTGTCCAAAGTGTAGATGTTAATAACGATGGTAATAATAAAGATGTTAATAAAGATGATAATAGACCCATGGGCATAAGATCTTCTTTGAGGTGAGAGTAGGAGTAGCAATATATATGTTTTCTGAGGCTTATATATATATATGAGAGTAGGAGTAGTATATATATATTTTCTGAGGCTTTCGCGGGTGTTTGTATGTAGGTCTTTGGTTATTCGGATTTTCTCTCGCGTAAAATTGGAGGTTTCTTGGCAACGTTTCGACGAAGTCTCATTCGTCATCTTCAGGCTGGTGTCTTCGGCTTTCGTGCTTCTAGGAGCAATGAAGCACATTGCTCCTAGAAGCATAAGCCGAAGACACCAGCCTGAAGATGACGAATGAGACTTCGTCGAAAGTTGCCAAGAAACCTCCAATTTTACACGGGAGAAAACCCGAATAACCAAAGACCTACACACACACACGCACACACACACACACACACACACACACATATTTTGCATATGCAAAATGATTTCTTGGAATGCAATGCTGTACCAATGGAAACATATATATCTAAAGAACATGTAAGAATTTGCATACACATGATGAAAAGAACCCCCCCACACACACACATGATGAGCAAACGGACAACAAATTTAGCAAGGCTAATCTTATTCTGGGACACATTTATTCCACAGTAAGATCTGCAGCTATTGATATTTAGCTGACTGAATTAAAAAGTGGCTACTAAATATTAATAACATCCCACTGAATGGTGTGAAGACATCACTTAGTTTGTTAGCCATTCCGTGAAAAGATGTTTCCTTCATTATAATTTTATTGACACACTTAAGGAGTTCAAGACTTTGTGAGTAACTATCTTCTGGAGCCATTTATCACGAAATTCTTTCTGAACTTGAATCCAACTTGAGTCCCAAAACAACTTTCCTGACTGTGCTTCAGGAAAGAACTTCTGTGGCTAGAATGAAAGAACTTCTGTGGTTAGAATGAAAGAGTACTTCCTCAAGAGGCACTTTTCTTGAAATTAGGAAACTCACTGCTTTTTGGATAAGGATCCCCCCCCCCCATAACTTCTATTCGGGAAAATGATTGGGATGGAAATCAAAGTGCCAAGACAAGGAAAAAATCTTTTTCTACCTCTCCACCATATAAACATTGGAACAGCACCAAACTATCATGTTAGCAGACATGGAACATTCGTAGTAGATGGCTAACAAACTTTTACCAATATTAGTAATTAGGAAAGCAGTTAAAATCTATAAAACCCAGATGAGTGGCTCAGGCTCATAATATCATTTTTCTGCTATCTCTAGCCATTGCAATTGTTAATATTTACAATAAATTAATCTCTCCCCTAATGAGGAATGTGCAACTAAGTGTGCAGAGCCTACATTCTTGTAAATCATTTTTGAGGCTTTCTGAGTTCAGAAGGTAAGACAAAGTATGCAGTTTGTGAAGTCATAGTGGCAGCAAGATCTACAGCACAAGATCACTGCATGATGGTGGTTGCCAATACATCCATTAAAATCTCAGGCCTGAACTACTTTATACATTATAGGATTAGTGAATCTTGGGGCAGAGTTATAAAATTCAGCCTTATTCTCTGGGTAAATCCTCATTATGTTAACAGAATAGCAACAAAAAGCATTAAAGTTTCACTCATCTTCATAACTTAAATAGTATCTTAGATGTGCATTTTTTACACTAGTATGTCATAGGAAAGCTAGCTTTTTATTGTTCATAAAATCAGCTGCCATGTTTTCAAGACCTTGGCAATACCTTCTTTCTTTTTTGCCAGTATCACTCATTACACTAAGCTCTTGAGCTACGTCCCACATGGATGTTCATAGTTTGGTAACTGAAGCATCATGTTAGTGCAAATGAATTACCTCAAGCATGCTAAAGACACATGTTCCACAGCATGAATGTCTTTAGAGTCTTGTAGCTTTCCTGCTGCACACCAACCGCCAGAGCTGCTAAATCTGGCCAGGTTGGTAGTGATGTTCTCCAGGCTTATGGTTTTTGGTGTTCCCCATACTTACGGTTCTGGAGGACTTCAATCTGCCATTCATGGCCACCATTGAGCTAACTCATGTTATCTCTGGTTGACTTACAAGGGAGGCCACACATTAGATAATAGTTTTTAATCACATGACAGTGGAGACATGATTTAAAACAGTAATTTCCCAGGTTATTTAAAAAGAAGTAAAAAAAAAAGTATGTGCATGCACATACAGGAACCTGAAAAAATATACACAAATATCTATAGTACTTTAAGAATAAAAAGGATCAATGTGGATGACATTTTGTAGTGATCAACTCATTCTTCCCCCATACAGAGTGAAGATGCATTTTAAATGCACAAGTACCATATGAGCAGGCACTCTAATATATCTGTTGTAAACAAGGAAAAGGCAACCTTGTATCCTTCAGATATTTCTACTTTTAGCCAGCATGGCAAAAACAAGGTGTTGTGAAAGTAATAGTCCAGAGGTGTCAAATTCAAGGCCTGAGGACCAGATCCAGCCCGCGAGGTGCTTAAATCTGGCCCGTGGGGCCACCCTGGAAACAGCAATGAACCAGCCCGCAGTGCCTCTGCCAGGGAAAATGGAGCTCAGGAGAGCTTCATGCAGCCCTCCCAAGCTCCATTTTCCCTGGCAGACGGTTGCAAGAAGCCATCACAGATGAAAATGGAGCTCGCGAGGGCTGCATGTGGCCCTCCCGGGCTCCATTTTCTCTGGCAAAGAGTTGCAGGAGGCCATCAGAGCCAGAAACAAAGCTCACAAGGGCTGCGTATGGCCCTCCTGGGCTCCGTTTTCGCTGGCAGAGGGTTGCAGGAGGCCGTCACAGCTAGAAACAGAGCTTGGGAGCCCGTTTTCATTGGCAGAGCACTCTGGCCACCAAAGGCATCTCTGATACGAGTGATGATGAGCTGGACACACCCATCCCAGCCCCCTGAGGTCAAACCAACCCTGATACGGCCCTCAATGAAATCGAGTTTGACACCCCTGTAATAGTCAAAACATCTGGATGCACCAATCATCCTATCCCTGTGGTAAACCATGGGAATTAATTTATGGTGTACATGGCTGAAGTAGGATTAAAAGTCATCTGAATGGGACACTAGACAGTTTACTGGTGTGACCATGACTGATAAGATCTGCATTTTTGCTGCCTTTCCTGAGGAGTCATCTCACTCAATAAAATATTAGTAAAAGAGTAGAGCTATATTTATATTACCAGCTGCAGCTAAAGGTTGTTATGCAATTAGAGCTTACTTATGTGACATGCTTGTTAAAACAAAAGCCTTCTTCTAGGCAACATTGACCAGAACTGTCTTCAGAAAGATGACACATTAATATGTTATATAAAAATGATAGAGAAAATAGGAATAATCTCCTTGTCTATATGGTATAAATTAAGCCCTCCTTTGGGATTCATGTTGTACATTCTTTCTCTAAAGGAGAAATAAATGATAGAAAACTATCCAGGGAAAAATGGTATTTCTTTTCTTGTTTAATTGTAGAATAAAAATCAAATATGTGAGTTAAAAATATCATATAGGTTCATCAGCTTCTAAGCACACCTGCTGTTCCCCATTTCTGTCTCAAATGATTCCAGGTCAAAAGGTGAATAATTATTAGACAAGATAAACCAGAATTATAAAGGCATGGAATCGAGTGTTTTTAATAGGTTCTTACCAATTAACTGTCACTCCAGGGAATATATTCTATTTTGAAAGAAATTTTACCACTACAAGAAATATTAACAACAATTACTCTACGTCTGTCCAATTGGAACATTAACCTAGAAACAGACGGGATCATTCCCAGAAGTCTGCCAACATTTTAACAAATGGCAGTGGCCCTTTAACAGATGGGATGCATGCTCTGTAGTTTGCCAGGATCCCAGCAATGAACATGAGCTTCCATAAAAATGAAAGACATGTACCTTACAATTGCCAGCGATAGAGTTTCAGTGTCATCAATGCAAGCGCTGGTTAAGCATATAGACCGACCACCATTTTGGCTATAAGATGATGGCGATTCATATGAGAACAATTATTGATTGGATAAACTTTAAAACTAATTTTATCATTTGCGTAATATTATGTATATTTTTATAAACACTTTATAAATAATAATAAAAAACAAAATGCTGAATTTAGCAAATGATGTCAGGCTTTTTTTGTGTTTCTAACTAAACCAAGTCCAAGGCATAAGCTAGGCATGACAGACAAGAGATCATTGGAAATGTGGCCTGTATCACAGCCAGAGGGACATATATATTATTTAATTTCTTCACATATTTATTGACACAGAATATGCAATCATTACATATAATTTATTTGGATGTACGGTTTCTCAATATATGATTCTGTATGCAACTTACCCTATAACCTGGTATTTGTGGCTTTTTCTATATGACTTTTCCAATATAGTCTTAGGTAAATGATTTCTTCTATATTCAATTTTTAAAACTGAAAGTAATCCTCATGTACATTTTAAAACTCAATTTACCCAATACACACTGAAAGTTTTTACAGATAGATACCATTTTGTAATAATCTTTCCATTAAGAATTATAGGCATTCTTGAGTACCTTCCCCAGACTTTGTTGGCCAGCGCTCAGCTTTCCTTTCCACTGAAGACCAGCAAATAATAACAACACACACACACACACATACACACAAACACTGAGCTCACCTTTCCCGTTCCTCCTTCATCTTTTCTAGGTCATCTTCTTTCAGTGTACTTTGCTTGGAGTTTCCCTTCTGATCACTTTTTACACCTTTATCCTCTTTTTTCTTGCCAAATCTGATTTAAAAATGAGATTTCATATTAAAATAAGCCAAAAATACTATGAAAATCTTCAGAGCTGATTTAAATAGACCGATTTAAGCAAACAAAGTATATTATGGTTTGTTTCAGCTTCAATAAAGCTGACTCAAGGAACTCATTTTTTTAGAGTATAAATTAACTTATTTTCCACAAACTTTTCCATAAATTTTTCATTATAATTTCCATTTTTATTGTTTTAGAAATATTTCTCTTTTGTGATTTTAATGCTTTCAATGTTGTAAGACACCCAGAGTCACTTCAAAAGGAGAGGGTGGCAAATAAATTTAACAAACAAACAAACAAACAAACAAACAAACAAACAAACAAACAAACTGGCATGTAAGAAAATCTATAGGGACAGTCCAAGGGGAGCAATTATGTCGTAGAAAATATGGGAAACTCTGTTTCTGTCAAATTCACAAGATGAAAAATCGTGGCCAACCTAGTACTAAAGTTACTTTAAAAACATGAGCAAAGAGAATGGAAACTCTAAATAATTTAGCCCAAAATCAGTTATTTCCAATCTAAGCATAAAACAAGGTGATGAAAACATATGAAGTAAACTCAGCTTCAAAGAAAACAACCATTTAATGAGATTTTCTTAATTTTTTTTATTAAATTATGTGGAGGAGAGCCTTGAAAGGCCAAGCCAGTTCTGTCTCCCCAACAGTTTAATGTGATTGTTTTGACAATCAAAAGACTGAGAAGATGCTCTAAAGACTGAGAAGATCCCTCCTCAGATAATCTGGAAGGAGTTTAATCGCTGCATAGAATCCTCAGGAGAATGTGGCTACCTTCACATCAAGCAGTTACGATCCCGAGTTATTTTTTTAAGCCCGATTTTTTACTAATCATTACCTATGTAACATGTGTGCATGTATACCATTTTCTTAATTGATTCACCATTTATTTCTAATGTTATATTATTAATAAATATATTATTCTTTCTAATTTTTATAAAATTAGCATTTGTAAAAAAAAATGCTAACCATTACCTCTTTTCTGGTGCTAAAGGCCTTTGTAAAAAGCATTCAATAGGTATGTTTCATACATGTGCATACATAGCGGTATGAATGTGTATGTATGAATTATACTAATGAATATCTTGAATATATATATGTGTGTGTTTGTGCATGTATGTATATGTGCATATATCTCTATAAAAATAAAAGATTCAGGACATTTTTCAGTTATTTTGTGTGTCTCTACAAAATACTGTTTTATTCATTAAGCATCTCTCCTGTGGCATGCTGGATGAATTATGTTTTCCCAAAAAGTTGGCATTTTTTCAGTGAGCGAAATTGAATTCCTGACTTTCATTTCATTATTATATAGCTCACAATACTACTGAATTCAAATAATGAGTCTCCAGCATAGTACAGTACAAAGCGAGTCTCTAAAAGGAAACCACATAATACTGCTTGGAGACTCCACATATTAATTGCCAATTAAAAATATCTTGTTCTGTGTAAATTCAACATTTGCATAAGGTTAAGTTTATGCACATATGTTATGTACATTTCTTGTGTATATGAAGTGGTATGTAGAGAGGTCAATCTTTTTGGTTCAGTATGCATGCTAGATGCTTATGCAAAATAGCAGGGGTTATGGATATGGATATCCCTTCACATATTGTCACTGGAGCAGACAAAACACCAATTTATGATAATACTATTACCGTTATTTCTAGATTTTCTCTTTCTGAGTTCTTTCTAGTATTAGAAAGAACTAATCCCTTTCCTGGACCGACAATCCCTACTCACAGTCACTCATGCCCTAGTCACTTCCCGTCTTGACTATTGCAATGTGCTCTACATGGGGCTGCCCTTAAAGAGCACCTGGCACATGGTTTGGGGCAGAACTCAGTGTGCACATGTATCACCTCTCCTGTGGGAGCTGCATTGGTTGCCGATTTGCTTCCGGATGCAATTCAAGTGTTAGTTGTCATCTTTAAAGCCCTTCATGGCTTGGGGCCAGGTTATCTGAGGGACCATCTCTTGCGGTCACATCTACCCGACCCACCAGAGCGGGGAGGCAAGGAATGTTGCGGGTCCCATCCCCTAGGGAGATACACCTGGTGGAACCCAGAAGAAGGGCCTTTTCCATGATGGCTCCCTCTCTCTGGAACATCATTCCCCCAGAGATTAGATTCTCTTCTCTAGCACTCTTCTGGAAGGCACTGAAGACCTGGTTCTGCCAGCAGGCCTGGGGAATGGAAGAGTGGGATGGAGCCCATTAAATGGCTTGTGGATGTGTTGTTGCAGGGTGGAGGGTTATTATATTATTTTATTATGGGATTAGTTTTATTGTTTTATATATAAGGTTTTTATATTCCTGTAGGCAGCCTTGAGTCACCATGTGTGAATAGGCGGCAATATAAATTTCCTAAAATAATTAAATAATTGCTCATCTCAACATAAAAGTTGAATAGACTTATATACCGCTTCCACAGTGCTTTACAGTACTTTCTAAGTGGTTTACAGAGTCAGCATATTGCCCCCAACAATCTGGCTCCTCATTTTACCAACCTCGGAAGGATGGAAGTCAACTTTGAGCCTGGTGCAATTTGAACTGCCAAACTGCTGGCAATTGGCAGTCAGCAGAAGTAGCCTGCAGTACTGCATTCTAACCACTGCATTGCAGTGGTTAGAATGTACTAGGAATGGGGCATGTATGAATTATCTACAGTAAAAATGAAGAAATACAGTCAACAATGAATAGGTGTTGAATGAATGTGGGTACAATGCAAAAGCGAGTGATCAGTTCAAAGGACAAATATTTGAAGAAGGATTAAATGGATCAAGAAGACGGAAGGAAGGAAAGATCAGTAACACTGAGCCAGTTTGGCTCTCAACAGTGGCTAAGGCACCATACTAGAAACTGGGAGATCATGAATTCTAATTCTGACTTTCTGCTTTGGGAACAAAACCAGTTGGTCACCTTGGGCCAGTCACTCTCTCTTAACCCTAGGAAGACAGCAAGGGCAAACTACTTCTGAAACTCTTGCCATGAAAACTGCAGGGCCTAGTCTAGGCAGTTTATTTATTATTTATTACATGTATTTATATGCCGCCATTCTCCCGAAGGACTCAGGGTGGCGAACACAAGTTAAGAAACAAGTACAATAAAATCATAATTTAATCCAAATAATTAATTAGTAGTAAATAATAAAGCCCGGAATCAGTCTCAGCCTATTTGTTTGAAAAGCCAAGTCTTCAAGTCCCAACAGAAGAAGTAGAGATCAGGAGCTGTCCGGAGCTCAGTGGGTAATTCATTCCAGAGGGTGGGAGCACCCACAGAGAATGCCCTACCCCTGGGCACAGCAAGGTGACATTGGCTCGCCGTCGGAACCCTGAGGAGAGCGGCCCTATGTGAGCGAACAGGACGGTGAGAGGCAGGCAGGAGAAGGTCATGCAAATATCCCGGACCTAAGTCATGAAGGGCCTTATAGGTGAGGACTAGCACCTTGAAGCGGACCCGGAGAACCACTGGTAACCAGTGCAGCTCACGCAGGAGGGGTGTTATATGGGAGTAACGAGGGGCTCCCATAACAACCCGTGCAGCTGCATTCTGGATCAGCTGGAGTCTCCGGGTGCATCTCAGGGGCAGGCCCATGTAGAGGGAATTGCAGTAATCCAAGCGGGAAGTAACCAGGGCATGAGTGACTGTGCGAAGGTCATCTCGGTCCAGGAAAGGGCGCAACTGGCGCACCAGGCGAACCTGTGCGAAGCCCCCCCCCTGGTCACGGCCGTTAGATGGTCTTCTAGGGATAGCCGAGCATCCAGGAGGCACCCAAGTTGCCAATAATCAAGAAAGATATGAAGGAAATAAAAGTGCATATACCAGAGAGCCTGTTTTTTTTTTCTTATTGTATGCTATAATATTTTTATTATTAGTTTGTTTTTTAAAAAAAGATGTATAGGTTCTATTATATATTATAAAACAATTGCTACCCTATTTACTAGCAGGAAGAAGAAAGTATTTGGTCTTAAAACATGTAATTCTTTTTCGGAATTCATGACTGATTTTGCTCAGGCAAAAAATAGTATTCCTTTTTTCCATACCCATCATGGAGCACATTGCTTATGGGCCAAAAGGAATGTGGGGAAAGGAATAGGAAATAATCAACAACTCAAAACAAACAGAATGCTTTAGTGGAAGGCAAGCACCTGCCTAGGGATAAGCATCAGCAAAAAGCATATTTTTTTCTCTCTAGTGAATTCAGATAGGAGGCCTAAATACTGTTCTGTAGAGAAATCTCTACTTCCTTGAATTTTTAGCAGGCAGAAATATCATCAAAAAGGGTTGAGTATTTGAGATCATCAATTATTCTATCACATAATAACTTTACAAGCTTAATCAGATAGTGTAAAGTAGCCCTCAAGCTAATTCTGGAAAGATCTGAATCTAATAGCAGCCCAGAAGAGAGCTTTCTTGTCTAATACATACATATTAAATGGATAACACACTGCTTTTAGAGACGCTGCGTTCTAACCACCTATGTTTTATTGTTTCTGCTCTCCTTCCTAGTTTCATTTAAGCAGACCAGAGGTTTAATATTTGATTTTGCCTGTGCTAAAGTTTTTACCAAGTAATACTGCCCCAATTTTTCTATGGGTATAGGAACAATGCAGAATGTGGACCAAAATAGAAAGAAATTAAAGTTGCTTCTCTTCCCTCTTTAGACAGGAATGTTGTCTTTTTTACAAAGAAAAAATTATATATATCGGACAAAAATACAAACAAACAGAAGGAGCACCCATGGGATCAAGAACTCAGTCAGAAAAAAAGAACCAATTCCTTCCCTGGTCTAGCACCTTAGAGCCACAGGACTTGACAGAGAAAGATATTGAAGGATATCAGAAGAAATTGTATACATTTTGCAATGGTGGGAAAAGACCTAGATTAGTGAAGAAAATGTGGTATCAAAATCAAAAGGAAGGTGGATTAGGAATCCCTAAACTACTCAATTATTA